TATCGACCCGAAAGGCACCGTGCATTTGTTTTAATGGAGCTGGATGCGTTTAAGGCCCTCCTCCTGCACGTAAAGAGTCTATTAGTCCTGATGGAGCGCCGTAATTACCCCGCACTTAAATGCAACACGAGGAGCCATTATGGAGGACCGGGAGCCGAGGGTAAGAGCTACATCCAGGGTCAGACCAGCGCCGGACCAGGACTTACACAAGTTTAAGATATTCCTGTATTCGTCCCACGGTGTCATTGTTGCACATTACAGCTGAGAAAGAAGGAAAAAAGAGATTACACACATCAAACAGGATGTGTATTATTTCAGATAATAGACAGAATTAAAATAATAAGATGTTATAATAGCATAAAATAAATAAACTCTGGAGTTATAATTGCACTTGGTTCATAAGTATTTACAGAAGTGCATATTGAACTTTAGCAGCAGAGAATGTGAATGAACGATAGTAACAATAGCAGCAGGTAAAGTGACAAGTGACTAGGGCTGGGCGATAAAATGATAACGATATATATCGCGATAGACAAGTGTTCGATATCAATAGAAAACGAGGTCGATAGAATGTTAGTTCAACTTCACTTTGTTAGAAAATACAGGAAGTAAAGCCGAGTCAGAAGCGAGCGGCATTCTGGGGCATGTAGGCAGAGGCTTCTCGACCTATCACAACCGGGCAGGAACCGCAAAACATTCTGGGAAATGCAAAAACGACAACCGCACCATGTGTAGCGTCCATGGATCTAGAGATAGTTTTTCAGTGCCGTGTCAATGGTTCTGCACGCCCGTGAGAGGAACAGCTTGTGCGGCGGGAGAGACAGTGGGTACAGAGACTTGATGCATTCGGCGAAAGCAGGAGATTTACTTTTTCCGGAGCCGTCACAGGGACACAAGACACTCGAAAACAGCCAAAACAGGAGCTAAACCAGGACTAAACCAGGATTAAACCAGGACTAACTCTGAGGGAGGCTGCTTGTGAACATATTCCTCGAGCCTCATTCCCCGTGACTATAAACAAGGGCTGCAAACGTGTGTTAGCCGACACTACAAATGTATTTATTTAGGTTTTTAAAAAAAATAATAAAAAACAATCAATATATATCGTTATTGACCGATATGAATGACTTATATTGTGATAGTTTTCAGCCATAATGCCCAGCCCTACTAGTGACTGACAGAGATATTAGATGGATGGAAATGTAACAATGCAATAAGTGACTAGTGAATTATTATCAGTGACACTTGTACAGACTCAGCAGTTCTCGTTATACAGTCTGACAGCAGCAGGGAGAAAGGTCCTGGGAAACCTCTCCTTCACACAGCGAGGATGAATAAGTCTGTCACTCAAGCTGCGCTCCAAAGCAAACAGAGTGTCCAGGGAACTGCCCCGGACAGAGCTGCACTTCCTCATGTTCCAGCTTCTTCCTGTCCCTCTCTGTGATGCTACAGCGGCCACACCGTGCAAGAGGCTGATGCCACCACAGAGTCATAGGAGGTCTTACTGCCCATACCAACCATACATGCTCCCTGCGATGGGAGACCTCTGGGAACACCGGGTGTCACAGTGGGGCGGCTGTAAAGTGCCAAACTGTGGTTGTGTCCTTAGGCAAGACACTTCGTCCACATTGCCCAGAATTAGTCTGTTGTGTGTGTGAATGGTTGGTTATGGTCTGAGGGGTGGATGACATTTACTGGTTGCCTCACTTCTGTCAGTGTGCCCCCGGACGGCTGTGGCTCCCGTTGGTTTTGAACGCTTACATTTCCTAATGGTGAAGGGCAGTGTGCTCTTGGAGATTCTTTTCCAATGTTTTTGTATCTTTCAAATGTGGGTCTTCCGGAGGTTTCTAACTTTATTCCACTGGGTTTTTGTGAGTTTTTCCTTGCCGATGCAGGAGGGCCTGTTGGGCAGTTAGTGTCCAACTAGAAGGACTGTGATGATCCAGGACACTTTAACCTCCTACAACATGTATGACATTTATCAACATTCACGGACATTGGTCTCCCCCTATGGATCAACTCATAAGATAAGATAAGATATAGGAGAAATTTGGCACATTTGGCATGGATAGAAACACTCAGATTGTACAAAAGGAGGAAATGTGCAAACATGTTACATGCAGGATATATATGTAAAACAAAAGAGACAATTATTATGTACAACAAAAGTGACAAGTGTCAATTGGAAACAGTGTCAATAGTAGTGCAGGTTTTCACACAGTGATCATTTAAAGTGACTTATTGTACAGTCTGACAGCGGTGGGGATAAAGGCCCTGCGGTAGCGCTCCTTCCTACACTGAGGGAGATATACACTCATGTGTGTATATCTGTGTTGGTGATTTCTATGGTTTTGTTAAGTCTCTGAGATGACGATACAAGAATACATTGTTGTTGTTGTTGTTTCCCCAGATCTGTGCCTCCACATAAATATAACTCAGAGGTCTGACAGTTCCTTAGATTCCAAATAAAGTTAAACCAGGTGAGTGTTCTGGGAAAAGGGATGAAAACTTATACATTCAGTGTTGTATTTTATAAAAGAGGATTTGAAAGAACAACGATTGACATTGATTGTAGATTGATAAGAAACCGTGGCTGTAACAAAACAAACGTGTAGGAAGAGGGGGTTGAATACTTGAATGTGCTGCTTTTGACGAGGAACAGTGTTGTCAACTATTTAGTCTGTTGTTTTGTTGCACTAAGGCTCTCTCTCTCTCCCTGTACCTGTGTCCGTCGTTAGGCTCCGTGTGGCCCACAGACTCCACATGCGTTTATCCCGGTGCCACTCACTGTCGTCCTGTGGCCTCCTCGCACACGACAGCCATTTTGTTTGCTTACCATCAACGCCACTGAGCCAAACACGGGCCAATCAGAGCGGGACAAAAACAAGCAAAGTCTTTCTAGCAGAAAGTTGGATTGTGAAACTTTCAATGAGGAGGTGATGTCGGGAAGAAAACTACGGAAAATCAAGAGAGAGATTTGTGACTAATGAGGTTTTTGTTTTCTTAAGGAACACTGTGTAGTTTTTTATTCTCTTCTGTAGCATTTATATATCGTGTATTGTAATTTACGGTACTACAGTAGCTCTGCACGACAATATGTGGTTTTTGACAGTAGTCCCCAACTCCTGCTCAAACTCCTTTAGTCCCGTATCAACCACTGTTTCAAGATGGTGCATTGACACATGAGTCCTCAGCCTCATGGACATTTATAAGTCAGATTCTAAGCCTATGGAAACAATTCAAAAACATGGTGGAGGTAGATATTCTTAAAAAGGTCACATTTGTTCATGGTTCACACGTGTTTTCATCTGGAGCAAATGTAAAATTTACACAGAGGCCCTTTTGGTTAGATGAATCGTTGCAGCATTGAAGGTGATATATTATACACTTTCTGTATATGTACATAAAACATGTTCCAACATTATCAAAAACAGATCTTGAGTTGTCTTTAGCTCCGTCCATGCTAATATCAGGAACGTCTGGGAAAAATAGCACTGGAAAAATGATAATTTTAGTCTAATTTTAAGAACTGTTGCTTTATTTTCTCATTCCAAGTAAGACATTTTTGCATCTTTTTATATCAAGACACTTTTGCTTTTGTCCAAATCTTTTGTTTAGAGTCAGAATGTGCCAAATGTGTCACTTTCTGCACAGTGCGTATTGGCTTGGTCAAAGTGGAGGTAAACAAGGTGAGAGTGTTTATGATAAATACTGACACTAAACAGTTATACAGTTGTACATCAGACCTGTCAAACTCAGGCCCGTGGGCCAAATCCGGCCTGCGAGACATTTATTAGTGGCCCCTGAAATGAATTCATTATTAAAGTAACTTGCAGAATTGATATTTATGGGAGACAATGGCATGTTATATTTATTTTAAAGCTTATTTTCTCAGGAAAACAACCATAAAAGTAAATCTCCATCCATTTTCTTCCCCTTATTCCATTTCTGGGTCTGGGGGGGTGGCAGACAGAGCTGCACCCAGTACACAGAGCACCAGCCCCTCACTGATCCTCCTGCAGGTGCTGAGTCCACAGGAGCCTAGATCTTTCAGCGGGGGCTTCAGGCAAAGTGGGGCTAAGTGTCTTGCCCAAGGGCACAACGACAGCAGTTATCAGTGGGAGTCGTGAAGTAGGTCTAAATGGTGGACTCGAACCCACGACCTTCAGGCCCAAAGGCCAATGCTCTACCAACTGAGCCACTGTTGCCCCGTGAAATTAAAATTATTTTAAAACAAAATCTGTAATATGTATATAGTAAGAAGTTAAGTTAGGCCAAAGATTAACTTTTTATATTATGATAGAATCCAAACTTACAAAAAAAACAATCCAAACTCATGTCCATTAAAATTAATTTGTCAAAATACAAAAATATGTTTAAAAAAAGATAATAAAAGTAAACCACTCTTTTACTTTTGGCTCCCGCACTTACGTTTTAAACTTGACCCTCGACCAAAGAGAGCTTCACATTCCCCTGCTGCACATTTACAACATAAAAACCCTGCACAAGATCAAACTGTACATTTTGTGGCAGATATAACACTTTATAAATGTTAAACCAATGTTCCATGAATTGAACCAAATATGACATTCTGAATCATTACTCACATAAACCAGAGGTACATCACGACTCGACGGTTGCTGTAAAAGTAGATCTTGGTTTGATAAAATCTGGACGCCCCTGGTCTAAACGCTCAGACACGGTTCGCTCTGATGAATCCTTACACTTCAACATTTTCAGGTCCCATTTCCAAAATTGCTGAGACAAACCATATTTATCCTTTAGGAAGCAGAAACGTAAGGTACCGAGGCTTTCACAGCTCAAAGAATATAAGAATACTTTGCATAACATGTCTCTTTGAAATGTGTTTTTACGTACGTTAGAATAGATACGTCACATGTTAGAATAAGATCCAGCTGCCCGATAGTTTTTATAGTGACAGTGGAATGGGCCGAGTGGACATGGCCTCGTTCCCTGCTCTCTGCTGTAAACATGAATGAATGAGACGAGGAGGCATCCCCGGGTCCAGGTCTGGCTCCAGTCCAGCTCAGACTCTGATCAATGGAGACTGGAAGTGCACAGTAAGCACCGTGGAGATTTCTACAGGAGACACCGGCAACGAGAAGAACAATCATTTCACAGACGCCTTTACGCGAGTGAGCACGCGTTTTGACGTTTCTGCTCTGTTTTACCCTTTTTTAAGCCTTTTAAAGCCTTTTAAACACGTTTTTACGGTGTATTAGTGTCTTTTGTACACTCTAGTGTTTTATTAATGGTTCCAGAGCATCACGTCTTTTAACACAAAGACCCAATCGAAACGCGCTAGCTCGGAGGCTACCACGAGCGCACCACAGACATGGAAAGTGACACTGCAATGACCACGAACGACATTAGTCGCCTCACATTGGAGCTTCGTGAGAGGGACCGTGCCACTATTGCAGACCTCCGTAAAGAAGTCCTTCGCCTCACTGCAGAGCTGCAGGATAAACAGTCACTCGTGTCCAAACTTTTTGATGTCGCTGGCGGGCAGCACTCACGGCTTATGTCACTGAGCGCTGCATACTGTGACACTGTCGTGTGGGAGAGATCTGTCAGCTCTGGGCCCTCTTGCTCTACACCTAAGTGCCCGGTTCGGAATAAAGAGCCTGCGGACTGCGAGGAGCCATCCAGCGCCGTGGCCCATGTCCTGAGCCTTTCAAACCGCTATGCAGCCCTCTCCGCTGACATCCCAGCCCCCCTCAGCAGAACCCCTGGACCAATCTGCAGCAAACTCTACTGCTGTCCGTGGATCTAGGTCCACTGCGAGAAAGACACTCTTAAAGGAAGCTGTCCTCAGACGAAAGAGTGGTCATTCCCCTTCTCTGACCCAGTGCATCACCACCACTTACCTTCACCGGGTCAGCAGCAGCGACCCGAGCCTGCTCCTCAACGCCGCTCCAGCGTCCCCGAGCACACAGCTGTGGGTTGCCCGGAGCTGGGAATCAAACACCCCACTCCTCTCCATGGTGTCAGCAGCGCCCTGGTTCGGACCCATCCCTGGATGAGGCTGCTTTGTTTCTGGCCATGGACACCGAGCGCCCTCTCGCGGCGGCCGCGTCCACTCTTTCGCCCGGACTACTTTGATTGTTGGAGATTCCATCGTGAGGCACGTCCGCCTTTTTTTTTTTTAACGCGGTCACTCACTGCATTACGGAGCCACTGTTCCAGACCTGCTCATCCCGTCTCCCTCCTCTGCTTCAGTCCTGCCTGATACCATTTCAAAGGTAATCGTGCATGTGGGGATCAACGACATGAAAGCTGCAGCAGTCCGAGGTCACAAAAGTAAGCACTTTATGGATCTATTCCGCCTCCTCCAGTCCTTCGGGTTGTGTGTTTTTATCTCTGGTCCAGTCCCGACTGTTAATACCGGGGAAGACTGCTTGTACAGTCGCGTTTGTGGCGCTCAACATGTGGCTCCAGTCTACATGCAGCACTTTTAACTTTATTTGTTGTGAACAAACTTTGGCCTGTTCTGGAAGCGTCACTGGGCCTATCGTCCAGATGGTCTGCACCCGAACAGATACTGGCACCAGTTTGTTGACGGACTTCCTACGCCCTGTTGTTTCAGTGCTCCAGAGGGGGGCGTGGAATGTTTACATCCTGAGGCTTCTCGGCCCCACCACACCTCCTCACTCCCCCCTCCTCCTCCTCCTTACCAGCACCGGTGTGAGTATGTGGTGCAAACACTGACCCCTGTCCGTCTGGCAGTGTAAACGACATTCTGCCACTGAGACTGTGCTGACTCAGTTATGGCATCTGGAACTAAAAACAAAGTTTACAAACAGAGTTCACGTTTTAAACCAATAGAGACTGTGTGTGTTTCTCGCACCAGCTCAGAAATGTGTTTTTTAACTTGAATAAACACAAATTTAAAAGAAGGACAGCAGTTAGACGGTCCAACTCTGGAAAATCTAATTCCAGTTCTTTGTAATCAATCAACTAAAACCCATTGGACACTGATATTAATTTTAACCTTGCTCTACTTAATGTCAGAATCACTATGCAACAAATCATTTTAATTAATAATTTTATCTGTTCGTCATGGATCTTGATTTTATGTTTATGACTGAAACATGGCTTGAAATAATACAGGAGAGGCATAGTTGTAATAGAAGCCTCACCACCAAAATTTCAAATTTGAACTTGAAACACGAGAAAATAAAGGGGGGGGGGGCCCATAGCAGCAGTTTTTAAAGATTGTATTGTCTCCCATAGAGCTGTCTCTGGGGGAAATTTTTCATCATTTTGAAGTTTGTTTCTTGTAAAATAGAACAAAGAAATCTTCTTACATTCTTATTATAGTAGTGTACAAGCCGCCACAGTCATGCCATAGTTTCACTGATCATTTCACTGAGTTGCTTCAGTTGTGTGCATGGATTTTGATGGTTTGGTCATTGTAGGTGATTTCAATATACATGTAGATAATGCTAATGATAGATATGCAATAGAGCTGAGCTCTTGGCTGGTAACCTTGGTCTCACTCAGATGTGAGTGGCCCCTCCCACAGCAGAGGACACACTCTCGATCTGTTATTTACCAAGGGGGTTAATATTTCAAATGTTAAATGTGGTCAATGTTGCTCTGTCTGATCCTTTCTGTGTATTTTTTGACATGTGTCTTGATTGTAAACCACCAGCTGAAATCTTCGGTTGTTAGAAGAAGACACATAAATGATAATTACAGGCGAACTGTTCATTGTGCGAGGGTAAACTTTGAGAACACGTTGTGTGTTACTGTAGATGAATTAAGTGATTCTGTCACCACACTGTTTTGAATGTTTGGATCCAATTGGCTCCTGTAAAGGTTAAATAGTTAGTTACAAAACAAGCAAAAAGCGCATGGACTAAAACCAGAACTCGGTCAGGGCACAGAGGAGAGTTGCGGAAGGCCGGAGCGGAAGTGGCGGAACGTCAAATCTCAATGTTGACCTTGAGCTCTTCAAAGATGCGTTGTGCAATTTTAACAGGGGAACTCCGTGACGAGGGAAATGTACTTTCTGAAACTATTGAATGGCTGCTTGTTAGCACAATCTACGTGTTCGTTTTCAACAGTAAATAGATTGACGAATCCCCCTTGTTAAGATGCCCTCAGAACTTACTTCCAAATCTAAATGTCTGAGTTTGCTCAGTTCTTTAATGACAAAGTCCAAGGTATCAAACCGCATCACTCCCACGATAGAACTCATATTACAAACCGCCAGGAGGCTTTTTGGGCGGACGCACTTTGTACACAGTACAAATTGAAACTGTCCAAGGAGTTAAGCACTAGTCTGAGTTCCTCCACAAGCAGCCTGGTGTTTTACCTCCGTAGATTTCTCAAGTCAGTTTCAGAGCAGTCTTTTACTTCACTTACACAAATAGTTACTATGTCTCTTGAATCTGGAACATTCCAGATGCCTTGAAAACGGCGGTCATCAGGCCCCTCCTAAACCAGAGGAGAGTCTGGAAGCCCTTGCACTCAAAATTATCGGCCCATTTCCAAATCTGCCTTTTTGGGGAAAAAATTCAGAAAAAAGTGCCTTAAATAAAACAACCTTACAGAATTTTTTAATAAGCAATACGCTTGATGATATGTTTCAGTCAGGGTTTCAGACCCCACCACAGCATGAGACCGCGTAATAAGGTTAACAAATGACATCAAAACCTAAACACTGACGCCAGGACAAAGTCTCATTCCTTTTTCTGATAGATTTTAGGTGCTTGCTCTTTTGACACATTGATCATGGATCCTCATTAGAGACTTGAGGACTGGTTGGTTTGGTGTTGGGGCACCGCCCTAAGCTGGTTTTAGGTCCTATTTACATAGACAGAAAGTTTTTGTTGGAGATCGAAAAACTGTTACTCAGACCACTTGGCCCTGACCTGCGGAGTGCCACAGGGTTCATTCCTGTGGAGTCCTATTCTGTTTAATATTTACAGTTTGCTCTAGTCAGTTGATTCACAGTAATAATGTCTCTTATCACAATTCCGCTGACGAAAACTCAGGTCCTATGAGTCCCTGACAGCAGTGGATGAGCATGAAACCAGTGGCTCGCTCCTTTCTCTGTGGTCCAGGCAAATCGGTGATTGGATGCAAAATACTTTCTCAACTACCTAAACCCGACAAACTGAAAAAATTTGTTTGGGACCACAGAAACAAAAAGAGAGAGCGTTATTTGTCACCTCCAGGCTCTCTCTCTAAACCTCAAATCAGGTCAGAAATCTAGGAGTGATATGGACTCAGACTTTAATTTCAAAAGCCACTTAATAATCTGTAACATCTAGCAGGTATTACCACCTAAAGAAACATTGCTAAAATTAAAAACATGTTGTCTAAGGCAGACTTGGAGCTCTGTATACACGCTTGTTGTCTCCAGTCGGTTAGACTTTTGCAATGGCGCCTGCTCAAAGGTCTGTCCAAAACAGGCTGTGTTTAAACAGCCGGCTGTACATTCAACATGCAGCAGCGCGAGTCCTGACCAGAACTAGGAAGTACGACACAATTAGTTCACAGTTCTCAGGTCTCTGCACGGCTTCCTGTTCCTCAGAGAAAAAGACTTCAAAGCAGCTTTTACTTGTTACAAGTTCTCCATGGTCTCGCGCAAGGTACATCCATGACAGGTTTGTGCCATATGAACCGACCCGGACTCTGAGGGCAAGCGGACTGGACTTCTGTTTGTGCCCAGAGTGGAGGTACTAGGACATGGGCAAACTGCATTGCAGATTCATGCGGCTAGAGTCTGGAAACAGTCTTCTTTTCTGAGAATTGAGACAGGCGTCTCCTCTTGGCATCTTATAAACTTAGGCTCAAAAAACAATTTCTGTTTGCTGCGCACTATTACAACTGAATGATTTATCTTTTCATCTTTGTTTTTATCTTTAATCTTTTACTGCACTTGTGACTATTTATGATTTTAGTCCATCTGTGATTTTAATGTTTAAAGGTTTTTAATTTTTGTGTGTTTTATTTTTAATGTTTTGAATATATCTTGTGCTTTAATGTGTTTGATTTATGCATGATGTGATAGGGATGTGAAGCGCTTTGCGTTGCCTTGTGTAGGAAAGGCGCTCTACAAAAATAACGTTGATGGATTGAGTGATATACAAGGCCACCATGGTGCACACAATGTAGGTGAAAG